ATGGGAGATCAGAATCAACTTCTGTTTCAATCTATGAAATACCGGCCGTTTACGGCCGCATTGGGATTTTGACAGTGCATTAACGGGTGGCCTTTTACGGCCGAATTGGGTTATCTTTGGTCAGAAATAAGCGGCCGTATATGGCCGCATTGGGGCGCAAAGGGTTAAATGTTGCCCTGATGATATTACAGATATTCATGCACAAGAAAATACAAATAATTTTATGATAGATTTCATTTTGGGTATCCAATAACCTGACATCTTGTATAAACCTACTTGCAAAGTTCTAATCTATTGTTGATTGCACCCCAGTGTAGTAATGATACGTTTTCATCATCTGGTTGGTTGACATCATAGCCTTCCTGTTCAATCAGGTATTTCACCCTGTCCATGATGCCATACTGCGTAGCTTTCACTATGTCCCATGTACTGTAGTCTTCTTGTTCTTTCTGGATAGGCTGCTGTGTGTGTAGTCCATCCAGATCAATGTCCATCATGGCTGGTCCTGATACTGGCGGCGGCTGTGGTGGCTGCAGTGGATAGGGTGTATCTGGGTCATATTGGGGCTGTACTGGATAGGGTTTCACTCCGTGTGAATGACTCTGGTGAAAGATAAATTTCAAATTAAACACTGGTAATATGATATAGTAGTATGGTAAAAAAACAAGATGGCCACTAGTCACCCATCTTTGATCTGAATGTAAAACAAAAAATTGTCATGGAAATGTAATCAAAAATGTACTATGTATAAGATAAGATAAGATAATTCTTTATTACAACCGTATATAATGAATTACATATCTATTTTGGTTTATAAAATGTAATAAAGGTGCTAAAATAAACACAACAAGTTAGATATCTAAAATCTACTACAATAAAGTTACATGTAATAATGTAAAAAATATTAATGACCCATTAGGTGGTTTTCTCTAATCGTATTTGCTGTTTTTATAAATTTGATAAGCTGTGTTAGTAAATATTTGTTGTTTGTATTCAATATATGAATGAATTTTTCTTTGTTTGTACAGTGCTGAAAATTGTTAATTTTCTTTCTTACAATGACTCTCTTTCATCTGTGTAAAGTTTACATTTTGTGATGTAATGAATTTCATCCTCAAGTAGGTTGCATTTAGTACATTTTCTGTCCTCTGTTTTTATTTTTGGTCTTTTGTGCATTCCCATCTCGATGTTTAGTTTATGGGCACTCAGTCTCAATTTTGCTAACAGACCAATGTTTTCTTTATTATCAAAGATTTTAATGTATGGTTCAGTATTTATATTTTTCTTCAGTAATGTATAAGTTCTTAGTTTTTAATCTAGTCTTTGATTATCTTGGTTCCAAATATAATTGTAATATTCATTTACTTTTTGTTTAAACTGGTCTTTCTTAATTGTTTCTAAATTTTTAATATCATACAGTTGTTTTATTTTATGCAGATTCATTAACCATGTGTCATTATATTTGTTTTGTTGTTGATCTTTTATTGCATCATATACTAGACTGATTGGGCCATTCTTAATAATATTTTGGTAGTATATGATTGCATTCAGTTGAATTTTCGCTAGTAATGGTAGTCGTCCAATTTCCATTCCACTACCAATGTTACTTGCTTGTTATTAACATTTAATAAGCGTCTACAGAACATCAAATGGACGACAGACAATCACTCATATGATAAGCTCCGCTCG